TCTAGGGGAGTTAGGGTACATCATCAATATTAAAATTGCAAAGGATCTCAAAATGAAAATGTTATCATACGCAGCTAGGAGCGCTTACTTGTTATGAACTGTTTCTTTCCACGATTTTTATTTTTAAAATGTTCATGAATTTAGGCGATGGTCCACAATTTTTCTAGCATTGAAGATTAAATGTACAAGAAACATAAAACAAATGCTTGGTTAAGAATTTGGAATTATGAAAAACGATGTATTTAACTTTAAATAATCTTATTCATTTAATTGTTCGTTTCTCTCAAAAAATAAGAGTAAAAAAATTAGCTCAATTGCATTTTAGAAATAATTGCGAAATAATTGCTCATATTAAAACCAATCAACAAGCACTTCACAAAGTAGTAGTATTTTTATTATTATTATATTTTTGTTATACGTATTTGAATATTTGTATTGATTACTCGAAATCAAATATAGCTCATTTCATTTTTTAATTCATTTCTTCTTAACGTTTAAGAAAAATACTTATAAATTAATTTCTAAAACTTTCCTACGTAAAATAAATGAAAATCCCATGCTTCATAATTTAGTTCCTTTACTAACTTCAATTTTATTCATTTTTTTATTTGCATTCGTAATTAAAATTATTAGTTTAAGAAAAATTACAGTTTGAAAAGGTTTCTACATTTTTTTGGTAAATTTGTTAAGATAATTTTCAATTATAAAAAAAATAAGTGACTAAAATCTGAAATCTCCATGTAATATTTACTTTAAATCTAATTTTTTGAAAAAACTGCTTTAAATCTTTTGAAACTAAGCAACAAAACTTTAATTAGGTTAATGATGTTATAAAAAAAATATTATAAAAACTGGCATAGTTAAACTACAAAGACTAGATTGTTAGATAATTCATTACAATTAAAGTAATTGCTGCAAGATTAGTCAGTAATTAATGCCATTAAAGCACTAAATTATATTTTTCTTTCAGTTTCTTATATTTTCTTTTCGGTTTAGAAGATAAAATCTTTCTGGAAGATTTTCCAGATAAAAATTGGTAACTCATTTTAAAATATTCCAGAAAATTTAGAGCTTTTTTTTCCTATTTGGTTATAGTACTTAAATAAAATAGTGAGTTTCATGTAAATGAAAAGGAAAAAATATTCCTTATAAAGAACACTAAAACAGAGTTCAGCTTTGAAATTATTTTGAAAACTTTTGTAATAATAATAGATTTAGTTCATAACTTAAAACTTTAATAGGGGTTTCCAAGCGTTGCTTACATTGCTCGCCAAAAACGGAAGTGTTCGCAGTCCCATTTGAATTGCTTTGCAATTTGAGCTTGCTTCGCAAGCTTATTGGCTGCTAACGTACTTTAATCTAGCTTTATATGAACTCTATTACTCTCTAAAAAATGTGCAACTGTTGTAAAAATATGTAACTTCCTGTGAAATCTTTGATTTATAAACATTTCAGTTAATGTTATAAACGTTTCAGTATATACACCACGATTTAATTTTTATTCATTTTAACGCTATGCTTAACACCAAGTATACTGTAACAATGACAGCTTAAGAACTTTTGCAACGAAAATGCGCTTATCATCTATCGTTTTTGCACATTTGACTTCATGACTTTTTCTAAAAATTATATGCAGTTAATATTCCATTATTATTACTTTTTTGTATTTTGTTTGCTTCGAATAATACTTGTCGTATTCCGATTTCTACCACAACCGGTCATTTGACCGGGAGAGCAATTTATTACCTTATAAAGTTATCGGATCAGAAATTACGATGTAATGCGTGTTCAACACATTGCATTCGATTGGTTGCACATTTCTGCAAAGACTGTTGCGTAGTTAGTGCAATCAAAATAACCGTGAATTCAAATTTCAAGAAAGTACCTAAAATTTTAGATTGGCATTTTTGTGTAAGAAAAAGTGGCAAAAAATAAATGTTTTGATAAGTAGCTTAGATTCTTTTGATAGCTTTATACTTCATTTCTAACTAACTGCTAGTTTTTACCCAGAAAAAAAGTCGAAACAATCAAGTAAGTACAAGTTCTTAGAAGAAATAATATAATTATAAGAAAATTAGAAATAATAATAATTAGAAGAAATATGTTTGCGGAAAATGTACAATGGAAGCACCCTGTATATGTAAAAAATGCGTTGAGCAATGAATTAAAAATTCTTATTCTTTCAGTTTGTAATACAGAAAAATTGACAATATACAATCTATATTATATAAAACGCTAATACGTACGTATGTATCAATAAAACCGATGATATTTCTTTTCTCGCGTTGGCAACAGTTTTCATTTTTAATTGATAGGCTTCGGAGCGCAAGAGCACGTAGTGAGCATCATATGGCTAATTTATATTATGTAAAACTCTAATACGTTTTAATTGATAGGCTTCGGCTCGCAAGAGCACGTAGTGAGCATCATATGTCTAATCGGGTGAATTCTCACCGAATTATCAAAAAAATTCTCACAAAATTATCTTCATCGAAGCCGATGCTTTACATCCGGCGTTCAGTACTATTTCATATTGTTTTACAACACATGGTTTTAGCCCTCTGGTGGGAAAGACTTTAAAACAAAACTTACAACAGTTACTTTTCTCAACAACTGAAATTTAGAATAGTGTGATTAAGAAAAATATGTGAACTGTTTGCAATTTCAAATTAATATTGAAATGCACAGGTTTAGAATTTTCTACAGTGAAAAGTTTTCGGAACTTCAGTGTTCAAAAAAGTATACAAAAGCTAGACGTTAAGAACGTATCCAATGAGCGAGCAAAGCGAGCATCGGATTGCGAAGCAATCCGAAATGAACTGCGAAAGCAGTTTCGAGGTTGGCGAGCGCCAGCGAGCAGGGGGCGAAGCCTCCTAGTTGCATTTAATTATAATAAAGTTCCTTTTAGTTTATTTCCTTCCTAACATCCATATTTCATACATTCAATCAAGAAACATAAAGTCCGGCCATGTGATCGGCTATAATAGAAATAGATATTTATTAAGTGCTGGTATGTTTAGTGTTAATCAAGACAATCGTCCCTGTCCATAAGTTCAAACATATGACTACGTTTTGAAATATGATTAGACACATTGTCTCTATTTATTTCTTTTTAATTTGACTAATTCACTTAATAGATTGAGTCTTGTGTGATTCAGGACAAGCCATGCTCACCAGAACTAGTGTTCTGCACTTAGTGATTAAGATTGTTACGATACATATAGGGCAGCTCACAGTCGCTTGCTGACCTAATCATCAATGACCTATATATACCGCACATAATGGTCATCCATTGGAATGAGTTTTCTGTCTTCTCTCACGACAGAGAGGGATATAATTTGATTGCTTCTGACTATGTTGAAATGCCCCAAACCCATACATACGGTGGTTCACGTGAATAAATGGCTGGTGAACAGTTTCTAAATCATTACTAAAATTCAATACATAAAGAACTTAATCAAATAGTGAAAGACTCGGCTATGCAAACTCAGATGGTAAAAAAATTTCCTTGGTATAATTGTTTAAAACTAATTAAGGTTCTAGGATTGGAAGGAGGTTTCAAGAATTGCACTATTTAGATAGAGGTGTTTTGTGCATTCTGCTTGATTACTATGAAAGATTATATGTTTTTTTTATATATATAACCATCGTTGAACACAGCCAACCCAGTTTTCGGGTTTACTACTTCTAATGTTCAACTTCGTAGCCTTATAATTTTGAATCTAATCCAGAAGACAAAGGAAGTCCTGGATGAAGTATTGGGAGAAATTTCTATTCATGGAGGATTTTTTCATGGAACTTACCAGCATTTACGTTACATGGAGAGGAAGACTTTGCGAACCTCCCACGGTTATCCTCACGGCAATGGGACTCTTACCCATGATTTGTCTACCACTGATTATACAATGTATAACAAAAAAATCGACGCACCAAGTACGCACTAAGACGCGCAAAATCGACGCTCGATCAGGCTGGAATGATGCCGACTGGGGACGCTTCCAACTGTGTCCTGACGATCATCGAAGACGTGGTTGGAGACGCAGAGGTCAGAGGGGGATCCTGCCTTCACTATTGCACGCCACACCGGCCCTCAACAAGGCATTATGGTCTGGGGTACCATTTCCTTTGACAGCCGGACCCCTTTGGTCGTCATTAGAGGTACACTTACTGCACAGCGGTGCGTCGACGACATACTAAGACCTGTTTTGCTACCGTTCCTTTTGCAGCGCTCTGGGCTGGTTTTTCAGCAGGACAATACCAGACCACATACGGCACGTGTTGCTATAAACTGTCTGCAAGCTTGTCAAACTCTTCCTTAGCCTGCCAGATCACCAGATATCTCTCCCATCGAGCATGTCTGGGATATGATGAGAAGGAGATTGCATCTGGCACGGAATGTTGATGACCTCGTTCGAGAATTGGATCGAATTTGGCAGGAAATACCGCAAGAGACCATCCGGGAACTTTATCGGTCTATGCCACGCCGTGTGGCAGCTTGTATCCAAGCTAGAGGCGGGTCAACACCTTATTGAACTTGTTACTGTAACTCTGCAATAAATTATTCAATTGTTCTGAAATTTTAATCATTTACTATTCTGTACATTGTCTTGCTATCCACCAATTTTCGTTTCAATCGGACAACTCCTTCCTGGTGCGTCGATTTTTTTTTTTTGTTATACAGTGTATTTTACGTCAGCATTGAGGTGATACAAGCCGGATGCGGATTCGTATCGACCAACCATTGCTGGAATTCGAACATGGTTCATTTCATTGGAAGGCGAACGCTCCATCCCCTGATTATATGTTGTACAAGATAATTTTGAAAGGGAACCAAGCTAGTTCCCAAAGGCATAATTTTTCAGTGATCTCTTATATATTCTCAAATGACGCCGCCAAAGGAGGCATTTTTAATATTAAAATATACGTGTAAAGGGTTTTAGTAGTTAATACCCTATATTAAAAAATACTTATTAAAAAAAAGAAAACTACGAAGCTTCATATGATTGAAAAAAAATTTTATTTTACTGTAACAGAAAAAAAAAACTCCAACAATATGCTTTTGTAAATAAACAATGTTAAAAATACGTATAGTGCCACTCTAGAATAATATTATACGTAAGTAAATCACACAATCAAATTAAAAATTATCACAAATGCAAGCTCTAATATAATAACAAAGGAAACCAAGAAGCTTATAGAAGATGAAAAGTATCAATCCATTAGCTGTTGCGGTGAGATCGGCGTGTCCTAAAAACATGAAGAAAAAAACGTGGATAAGTTTCAAGAATTCGATTAAAAAATTAAAATACATCAATAAACATAACTTTTCAGTTGTCTTTTATATATTCTTAAATGCCGGCTGGTGCAATCGTTGGGAAAGGACTCACAAAGTGATAGTAAAATAGTAGATAGTTACTTCGCCGAAACTTACAAGAATAAACTTCGTAGCTACTGGCTCTTATTTACATAAATTTTAATTATTTATATGTTATTGTAGTTGTAACGTGCAAGTAAGATTAAAATATCAAAATTTATATATTGAAAAAACTATTTCTACCATTAAAACTTTTTTTTTCCTTAACGTGCAAGAAAGTTGATAACTATATATATTACAAAGATTAAACAGTCAACTCATACTGGATTTGCAGCTATCGCTATTCATATATGTAATCTTGCAATTGTGTACCCCTCAGAGAAAAAAAAACCTGGTTGATTTAAGCATTGGAACAAGCTCTCCTTACTATTTGATGGTACTAACCCGTATTTGCGTTACACTGCGAGGGAAAGCTCGAAAACCTCTCACAGCTAGTACAAAACAGCAAAAGGATCCTGACATCTACCACTAGAAGTATTTTATTTTAGCACTGTGGCTGATGCGAGTCGAGAGCAACTTACAGTCGTCATTGGGATTCGAACCTGGTTCGCTTCGTTATGAGGCGAGTACTTTCAAAGCCCCTAATCAATTCCGGTACTTCAAAATCTAAATCAAGTTAATCACTACTGAAGATGACAGAAGGAAAAAAAATCAAGAATGTGTTTGATTGAAGGAGAAAGCAGAAAAGCTGATTAATAACACATCCTAGCATTATCATGCCACCAAACTGGTTTTAATGTTTTCCTTTCCCTTTCCTCACTAGTGATTCTACAAATTTTTGTAGCCCTTTTGTTTCATAATCATCACAATATTAATTTGTGACAATTTTTAGAACTTATTTTTAACAAATATTTTAAAACTCTATAGTAAAGACGATCAATACAGAATACCCAGTATAAACATATATTTTACACAAAAATTAATATATTATTTAATTTACTTGCAACAGTTTAAAAAAACGTAAGCTATTTTGGAACTTATTTAAATGTCACAAAATATAATATAAAAAGTAAAGATGATATAGCGTCTTTCAAAAAGTTACATTAAAATCTTTTCAAAACAACAGACAGATTAATTAAGAACAAATGAAGAACGTCATTCTAAATAAACTACCAAATTTATTTCTTCATATATTCTTCAAAATTTTAATTCATTTTTTAACGTAAAGGTATTAATTTTTCTTTAATTAATCTTTTCAACACACGCGTCAGATATTTAAATTTTAAAACTCATTTGAAGGTATTTATGCTCTAATAATTTTTTCTATATAATTTGCCTTTCCACTTTTATGTACAATATTTTAAGAAATTTTGTGATCTGCTGTTTTATATAATTTATTTCATAAAAATTAACAATTTCTTAAACAATTTATTTTATTAATTATTAAAAAAACTTATCCCTACCTCTCACAATATAAGATTTCAATGAAAAAAGCTTATTATTAGAAAGTGGACGTGTTTGGGAATAAATGCATGCATTAGTGCATAGAATAAAAAAATATTGCGTCGAATACACAACTCTCTCATTGTGAGAAATCTTTAAGTGCCTTAAATACTCCCTCAGTTAAACTCTCATAACTTTTCTAGTTTACACGTAGGATCAAAATATCCAAATAATTTTGAAAATTCGAACAATATTTTTCTATATAGAAATAGCTTAAAACTTTTATTTAAAACAAAATATAAAAAAACACAAAAAAATTTTAAAAAGTGTTTGTTTTTCTTTACCTGCTTTATAATTGAACAAATTATTTACAGAGCTTCTGAAAAAATTTCAAAAGTTTAGAAGAAAAAAATTCTTACACCTTATGTGGTTAAAATTTAAGTGAATTACAGTAAATTTTACTGATTTGTCAACCATTTGAAAACATGAGTCATTTAAAATTTCCAAGAGATTTTTTTGCGTACACTGCTTGCACGCAACTTTTTTGCACACCATGCAGAACCATAATATTGTTTAAATTTATACCAATTATAATACTGCTCCAGGTTGAACCATAATATCCCTTAAATTTATTGCAATTCTAATAATGTGCTAGATTGAACCATAATATGTCTTAATTTGTTGCAATTCTAATACTGTTCCAGATTTATAATTATAGCATTTAAATTTATTGCATTACTAATAAAGTGCTAGGTTGAACCATAATATTGTTTAAATTTTTTGTGATTCCATTACTGTGCTAAGCCGTAGTATCGTTTAAATTTATTAGAATTCTAATAATGTGGCAGGTTTACAGTACTTTAGTTTAAATTTATTGCAATTGTAATAATGTATCAGGTTGACCAGTAATATAGTTCAAATTTTTCGAAATTCTAATACTATACCATGTAACAAGTAAGCTACAATATTATGCCATATTATTGAGAAAATTTACATTTCCTAAACTTTATTTCGCAAACATGTTTTAATTGAACACCTTATTAAGGATGTGGAAAAATTAACGGTTAATAGTGTCTTAAGATACGAGCCTCATCCAGAAAGTAAGTTTCCCTAATTTGTAAAAAAAAAAGAACTCATACTTTCTAGAACATATTTATTGGCAACAAGTACAGCAATGTTTCAGCCACTTTTCAACATAGCCACCACCAGAAGTGAGACACTTGTCGTATCGCGGAATCAACTTTTGTATCCCTCCGTCGTAGAACTCTGCACCTATGGATGGAACCAACGTGTGACAGACGTCTTCAGCTCTTCGTCGTTACCAAAACGCTCACCGGAGGGCAAGAAAACATAAAATTCGCTGGGTGCAATATCAGGGCCGTAGGATGGATGGTCAAACAACTCCCAGCCAAATTCCGTCAAAACAGCTGCTGTGCGTCATGCCGTATGTGGACAAGCATTGTCATGGAGCAGCGCAACACCTGCAGTAAGCATTCCACGACTCTTGTTCTGAATGGCAAGTCACAATTGCCGCAATGTTTCACAGTTACGGTAGACGTCTGTCACACGCTGGTTCCATTCACAGGCGGTAGTGTTTTACAACAGAGGGATACAAAAGTTGATCCCACGATACAATAAGTGTCTCAACTCTGGTTGTGGCTATGTTGAAAAATAGCTTAAACATTACTGTACTTGTTGCCAATAAATATGATCCTGAAAGTGTGAGTTCTTTCTTTTAAAAAATTCGGGAAACTTACTTTCTGGATGCGCCACGTACCAACTACAGAAACCAAAGTATCTTGTACTATAGTTCTATGTTAAATCATTTCATATAGTGCAGTTTATCATGACTTACCTTCACAATTAGACCCAATCACATAACCTTCATCAGATTCTTAGCCAGCGGCTATTGGATTTAGCTTCTATCGACAAAGCTTCTGCTAGTAGACAACGACACCATATTTACTCCATGGGGATCTTCACTAACCAACATCACCAGCAACGAAGACAAGGAAAAACAAAAGAAATATAGGAAGATAGCTTGATGTTAAGTTTCAAACAACAATTAGAGGACTAGAATAAAATAAAAAACGAAATGAGCCCTAAGCTTGAAGCTCAACTGAAAACACTTTTCCACAATAAATGTTTTGCCTCTGGAGGGAGAAATGGGATATTTGTGCATTTATAAAACAAATTAAATTCGGGGAAATTTAGAACACACCGCGTATTCAGTATTACATTGCATAAACATCTTCTAAAATAAATACTCAATTCTGAAAACATCAAAAAAGGACATTGTTATTGAAAATAAATGTCCATAACAACACCAATAGATGATTGTGCTCAGTAACCAGAAAATATCTATATATATTCTCTCTCTCTTAAAAACTAACTTTCAAATTAAATAAATCAATTACAACAATAAAAATAAACATTAAATCCTACAACTTAACATTTCATAACCTACCATGCTCATAAACGTCATTAATAATTTAAAATATATAAATAAAAAATATTCTTTAAAACGAAAAAAAGCTACATATAAAATGGCAAAAAAAATATATAATTTTTGTTGGAGAGTTAGTAAAATTCAACATGTTGCGTTCCGGGGGGTGGCCTGTACGTCTGGGGGACGTTGATAGACGCGTGTTCTTTAACGTAATCGTCAAATCGAGCTTTTCGAGATAATCTGGGGCTTTGGCGATGTAAGTTTTCCTTTTCAAAGCTGCCGGTTGGTGATGATGGAGGCCATTGAATGTCCTTCCTCCTTGCTGGTGAATGCGAAGGACTGAAGAGGTTTCGGCGAGATTGGGGCGGAGATGGCGATGGATTCCATTGTATTTTTCGCCCAGTAATTGGTGACTGGGGCGTATTCCGACCACTTCTCATCTCGTCACTTTGAGGTGGCCATACACATCTCCTGCCATTACCTGTAATTAAAAAAAACAATGATGTATATATGAACTCTATTAAAAATTATATACTCTGAATCAAAAGTAACTAAATTTCCAAGAGGTCTTAAAATAAATGGAAACTGCCAAATATATCGAGAATCGAATCAAAAGTCTAAAAATAATAAAAGGGGGATATTTTCAAAAGATGTATTGAATGCTATCAAACTTGATCCCGTCCTCATCCCTGAGGGTAGGGCGGGAAAAACGTTAATATCTAAGAAAGGAACTCCCGTTTCTTTTTTAATTGTAGAATTGGAAAAATTCTATAAAATATCTTTGACCTACAAATTATTGTATTTTGGTTTATATGAGGCACTGTAACTGCAAAATGAAGATTACATGAAGTTAACAATATAAATACTTCATTTACTTCGCATTAGAGCTGTACAATTGCTATTTTATTTTATAACCGTTCGTTGAAAAGTCGACCCAATTTTTTGGTTTTACAACTACTAATGTTCAACTCCGTAGTCTTGTAAAATTTTGAACTCAATCCAGACGACAAGGGAACCGGAATCAAGTAGTGGAGGAAATTTGCCTTCCTTTAGGACTTTTTGATGGAAGTAACAAACATTTGCGTTACATGGAGTGGAAAAGCATGAAAACCTCCCACGGTTAGACTGACAACAAGGGGATTCCACCCAGTGATCCGTCTATTACTAAGGATATTTAACTTCAGCACTATAGTCTGTGCGAGACAGGTGCAGAATTCGCAGTGACCAGCCATCGCTGGGATTTGAACCCGGTTCACTTTATTAGAAGGCGAACGCTATATCCCCTAAGCCACTACGGTAGCAACAATGGCTATTGGGGAAAATCTGGGAAGCAAACCTGAGGATAAACCGAAGACATACCATCACAATTTTGATCCTCTGCAGAGGAGATGGCTTCCCAGCTTTGGTAGTCCAACGACCGGTGAGCAAAACCGAGCACTTAACTGTAGAAATAACAATTTAACAAGGACCGACCCGCTTTCTGGCCGCAGCCAGTGATGCTTGATCTCGATGCTCAATTGGGAATCGTGTGCTAACGATTAGTCTACTAGCGGACAAAGATTACTTGAAAATTGTTTAAAAATAGAGATATCTTGAGAAATGCATGCCAACTCAAAAATAAAAAAGACTTGTTTGATATCTAAAAAAAAACTATCTAATAAAACCAAATTCGCCCTATTCCTCATATAAGTCCCAAACCCAGGAAGTGGAATTAGGGAGAAGAGTTTATCATTGAATGCATCTCCTAAAAATATCTACACCTACATTTTTACGATATCAAATTTCGAAATATTTGACCATTTCCATACGTTTAATTTGTAAACTAATGATAAGAAAATCGATTATGTTAGTGATGCTTTTCATGATTCGAATTACGCGCCACAGTCCATACGTATCAACTCCTAAAACTGAAATCCTCTTTACATGCTGGTAGAAATAAACTGATCAGAATACTTAAAAATAAGTCAGTTTGCGCATAAGCCAAATATTATCGTAAAATTCCTTTAAAAAAATTATCTTATCTCAATATTTACATGTCTGTTTTCGTGAATTAAGATTCTCTCTCGTTTAAAAGTTAGCTAATGAGCAGATATTATCATATTTCAGACAATCAAAGCAACCTACATGTATAAAGAGGTGAGGAGACTTCCTTCCAGGAGCTGTTAGTATAAGTTGAAAATGTTTCGCAATTAATTTTAAGTCGCTGAATTTCATGCTAAATCGATTCGACTAACAGAAAATAGCGAGGTGTATACTCGAAAAGAATATATAATACTTCAAATAAGTTCTCAAAACATCAGGTTTAAAAAACATTGTATTACAGTAGTTTCTGCTTCGATTTCGCACCCTTTAGTCTTTCATTTAATATTTTAGGTTAACCCTAAGTAGACCTCCAACTATCATGGAAGTTAAATAAATAATCCTAAGAAATTGAAGAGGTAAGATGTAACTAGATTAAAAACTTCATTCGCTTCAAAAATATACAAATTGGAAATAACAGTTAAAATGTTTCCAGTGCATCAAAAACAGTCGCCCATTTTTCAGACCTGATTTCTCATTCACGTCTGGCAAGTATTGAAAAGGGGTATGGGTACCTGTTTTTGAACGCTTAAAACATGTCGACTGTTATTTCTAACTGATATATTTTTGAAGAGAATGAAGTTTTTAAGTGATATTGTGGCGTAACTACCACTATAAATATTAAATACCGAATCACTAGTATATAAGAGATGCTAACTTGATTCTATCATGAGGTACCTTTTGATAGATGAAGGTGGACATAGTCTAAGATTAAATCCCCTCATTGGTGACCTGCTGACGTGATAAGAAATTGTCAATATTGATGGATGAATCCACATTAAACAGTTGATTTGCTTAAAAAAAATATATACTGCTCAAAGAAAAAAAAATCAGGTGAAGTAAAAAAAGTCTCNGCTGACGTGATAAGAAATTGTCAATATTGATGGATGAATCCACATTAAACAGTTGATTTGCTTAAAAAAAATATATACTGCTCAAAGAAAAAAAATCAGGTGAAGTGTAAATAAAGTCTCCCGGTTAATAAATAATAATGAGCGAAATGCTAGAAAAAAAAATAATAATAGCGAAAAGCTATAAAAAAAATGACGGGAAAAAATAGCGAAAAAGCTATAAAAAAAATAACGAGCGAAATGCTTGGAAGAAAAAAAATAAATATAATGAGCAAAAAATTGAAGTTAATAAATAAAACAGCATTAATCAACTAGTGGTATCTGTTCATCGAATTCTATGACAATTACAATTCTGGAAGGGGAGTAATGTGTCGTAACTACCACTATAAATATTAAATACCGAATCACTAGTATATAAGAGATGTTAACTTGATTCTATCACGAGGTACCTTTTGATAGATGAAGGTTGACATAGTCTAAGATTAAATCCCCTCAATATCATGAAAGTTATATTAGTTACAGCGTATTTCTTTAAATGCAAGAATCTTTTTTACTTCAACTTAGATACGGGTTTTAAATTTTGGGTTAATTTTAAAGAAAAACTCACCCTTGGATGGACTTATAACTGGAAAAAAACACGTAAATGCATACACAATAAATTATAAACTAACTTGTGGTCATGAATAAAAGCATGAGGATAAATTTACAAAATGAAAGAAAAGTTTTTTGTTATTTCACTAACGTGGTTAGGTTATATAATTATTATTAAACACATTAAAAGCAAAAACAAGTTTTACATAATCTAATAATAACACCATGACATAACTTAGGAAAATACTTCAGAGCTTGTTAAATTCTTTAGAACGATTTCAAAGTTAGCATCTTAAGAAACCCGCTATAAAAAATTTATCTAACATGTCGGTTCAAATTTAAAGCCGTATGAAATAAGCAGAACCTGACCCGATCTTAGAACTACTAAGTTGGATATGAACAATCTTACTTCCCCGAATTCTTCTACAATCGTTTAACCCCTTAACGCACAGATTTTTTGAAGAAAAAAACAGGCCAAAAGAAATCAATTTTCTTTATATAAAAAAATTGATTCCGCTCCTGGTTCAACTTTTCTTTTGGTGGACAATTTTGATATACTGCACTTTTGTTCCATAAAAAAAGGCTATATTTCATTTTTGAATCAATAGATGTTATAGCTTACAGTCCTATGTAAATAATAAATATCAATAAAACGATTTTTTTTGTCAGCTTTCACACTGTTATTTTCAATCCTCGATTATATTCGAGTGTGAAAAATTATAGCATAAAATACAATACCGCTCGAATTATCTCGAGTGTGTACGATTTGGCCTGTTTAGCGAGCTCGAATAAACTCGAGCGCACAAGTTAAGGGGTTAATAATCGACAAAATTTCTGAACTTGTAAATAGCACCATGTTGTTTCTTTTACACAAACTTCATTTAGTTGCTCGTAGTACTTGCATGTCGTTCATGGAGAAGTTACAGCGTATAACATGTGCTTTTTCCTGATAAATTGATTTCAAAACTTGATAAACAATATTGAAAAAGTGACGGAATATTAACTCACCGGCAGAAAATTTTACACCTATTGATTTACAATTCTACAATATCAGTAACTATATTCCTTATTCCTATGTTTTTTTTTATCGAATTATTGATTTTTTGCTGAAGTATATTGAACCGAATCAAAGGTTCGAACTCAACCGGCTCTAAAAGACATCTCTCGAACTTTCTCTGCATGCTGACCGGCCTCTGTAGGGGTTAGGGAACTGCCCTTGCACCAGAAAGGTTCTGGGTTCGAATTCCGGGCAAGGCATGGACGTTCTTTCCTTATCTATACTATCTGCCCTTACTGTAGGAGCAACGTTGGCCCACCTAATAAAGAGTGGCCAACAAATCTGCCCTTCAGATACCTATATGACAAAGGTCATTCAGGTATCTGAAGGGCAGAAGTGTGGGGCATTGGAAAAAATACTTTCTCTGCATTGGTAAATCCGCTACTCTCTTACTCCTCGACAGAAAGCAGCACTACACTATTTCGACTCATTTCACGATTCGCATGAATTCGACAACAAATCGCAAGGATTTAAGACATAGTCAAGGCTCCAACGGTAGATAATTCTTAACGAGATAAACGTAAATTTACAGTTAGTGGTCATAAATTTTACGAGAAAAACTTGAGAAGAGAAAACACGCAGCTGTTCTTTTATGGTCATAACAGCTCTCTCTCTCACTCTCTCTATTTATGGGTAGAAATGTATTTTTACCGTCACTGACTGGAAAACTTTTTGACGGTCATTGACCATCGTCTTAGTGAAATATTTAAGAGTGTTGGTATGACATTTACCTTGACCAGCTCTCACAGCAGCAGGGTCAAATCCTGTGCGAGGCAGATCTGTAGTAGTTGATCTCTGTAATAAACAAAAAATAAATAAATAAATAAAAGTTGATGCCGTAAAGATATGTTTAAATGAGACACTGATGAATTTTTAAAAAAAATTAAGGTGTTGAGGATAATCCATGTTCCCTACACCAATTACATACATATTGTAAAACTTGAAAAAGGTTTGCTCGCAAAACGAGTTAAAATTTCGCAAAATGATGTTATTAAAATATGTTTAAATTAGACACAGATGAATAAAAAATAGACATTTAAAGATTTTGAGGAAGAAAAGTGATAACCAATGTTTGCTACAACAATTGCATATATTTTGTAAAGCTTGAAAGCAGCCTACTTGCAAAATGCTGTTTTTAGAAGAAGAAAAAACGTGCTAAAAATTTCTCAAGTTGGTTCTGCAAGAACATGTTTAAATGAGTTCCTGGTGAATAAAATATAGAGGTTTAAAACTTTTGAGGTCAAAAAAGGATAACCCACGTCTTTTAAAAATGTCACTTTCTACTGTAAATATTTAAATTGAACATGAGCTTTCATTCTGTTTAATTAATAAGAAATTTTATAAAGAGATGTTAACACACATACTAATTATCATGAGAAATCACGCTACTCTGCAATATACGTATCTGTGACAGAAAAATTCGTTTATCTCCAAACTAACAAAAAATGTGAGTTGTTACTCTTTACCCAGGCGGTATTCATTTGTTTTAAAACATTGAATTTAATTCTTTCTTTACACTCTTGCTTAATAACAATTTTATAACAAAACAAAATGTAAATAATATATTGTGTAACGAAAGAAAAAACAAGTTTCAATCTAGTAAAAATTTGACATTTTTCGCTCAACTTGATTTAATTAACTAAATCAAATTTAGAAATTTTTCAATTATACTGAATAAATAATTTTTTTTCAAGTTTAATTATGAAATGTCCTTTTCACACTTCAAGATTTCTTTTAAATTCAAATAAAATTTGTAATTTTCTTTTTCGAATTATAATCAAAACCTTATAAAAAAAGTAACTAACCTTATTTTAAATTAAGTCTTGCTTTAACTTTACAATTACAAATTTGCATAATTTTTTATTAAATTTCAATAAACAAAAAAATATTTCATGACTTTCATGTGTTAGACGAACTATAATTCAATTTATCCAATTGCACAATTCACTTTTATTGCGGTACAATTAAGTTTTGTTGTCAGCTTTTTAGTTTGTATTAACTACATGCTTTAACTATACAAAGAAACTTTAATAAAATATTATTCTGTAATAAAAATCTCATTAAGTTTTTATGTTAACAAATAAATATTATTGTATTTTTATTACGTAGTATACTTATATAACATAAGAGTTTAACAAAATCTAATTAGATTAAAAATTGTTTTTCTTTATAAATTATGCCAGGAAAAAAATAAGTATACGGGAAATAAAATTAAAATGAGGCTTTTAATCTAAGTTTTTTCTAACCAAATGTAAATTTAACGCATGTAATAAAAATCATTTTAAATCAGGACAAGTGAAGCATAAGTCACATGTTATGCCTGACTGAACTACTTCAAAACATTCTATGCGTCAAGTCGCAGAATGTGAAACAAGACCAACGCTGTTCTAAGTGTTGTCTTAGCCATCCAATCGGGACTTCTCCTTTTATCTTTGCTTATCTTATAATGCAGCATATAACATTACTTTACATTAAGCCTCTTTAAAAGAAAATCTCATAAGTTTATTTTCTATTGTAAAGGAAATTTTCATATTTGTGATAATATTTTCTTTAAAAAATATTTTAAAAATTTTTACAGCTGATGTTATTATCAAATATGTAAATTCTACTTCAAATTTAAATGCAGATAAAAACAAACTCGCCCTAAATATATCCACAAAAAAAATCCACGTAAGCCCTAGATCTGCTTAATTTCATCAAAATAGGGTAGAGATGCAAGAAGGGTTGTTTACTTTACAGTGTGACATGCTATTGAGTTATACGAGGGTTGCTATTTATATTTCTGGCCTTGGCAACTGTAAGTGTTACTAGGCGACCGCAGACGATTTTAATCGAAAGTTCGATATTTTTAAACATAAATTCAGCAGACGATTTACCATTATAGCTTCATTTGTGTTGTTGACAGTAAATTGAAAAGTTCTTCTCTTTCAAAAAATGGAATTGAATCGTGAACATTTTCGTGCCATTATTTTTCATAACTTTCGACGTGGATTGTCAAGACAAGAGTGCTTCGATGAACTTAATTCTTTATTCAGCGATAAAGCGCCATCCTACAGCACTGTAAAAAATTGGTATAACGAATTTAATCGTGGTCGATGTTCGATCCAGGACGAATCCCGTGCAGGTCGTCCAAAATCCGTTGTTGTGCCAGAAAAGATCGATGCTGTGCGTGAACTGATAAAGCAAGATCGTCATGTGACATACCGTGAGATAGAGGCGTCTTTGGACATTAGTATGACTAGCATCAATAAAATATTGCATGAACATTTGAGCGTAAAAAAAATTTGTTCGCGTTGGATCCCGCATAATCTGACAAACGCTCAAAAAAAGGCTCGTGTCGATTGGTGCAAGGAAATGTTGGAAAAATACGTTCAAGGTACATCAAAGGCTGTGTATAACATCTACACAGGTGACGAATCATGGATCTATGCATATGAGCCGGAAACAAAACAGCAATCAACTGTATGGGTCTTCCAAGACGAGGCAAAACCAACAAAAGTTGTTCGAGGAAGAAGCACATCGAAACAAATGATTGCCTGTTTCTTCGGCATTAACGGTCATGTGGCAACAGTGGCGTTAGAGCAACGCAGGACGGTCAATTCTGAATGGTACACGACCATTTGTTTGCCAGAAGTCATCGGAGAAATTCGAAAAAAGCAGAAGAACAGGCGAATCATTCTTCATCATGACAATGCGAGCTCTCACACATCGACTCAAACAAAGGCATTTCTGACGGAGAGAAGGATCGAACTGATGGGTCATCCGCCGTACAGCCCTGATTTGGCACCCAATGGCTTCTTCTTATCCCCACACATCAAAAATAAATTACGTGGACAACGATTTTCGACCCACGTAGAAGCGGTTGATGCATTCAAAACGCATGTTTTGGAGTTACCTCAATCGGACTGGAAAAAGTGCTTTGAAAATTGGTTCAAACGCATGCAAAATTCTATTGATCATCATGGGGAATATTTTGAAAAACAATAAAACCAATTTCGATCCTACATATCTGTTTTTTCATTATTAGGCCAGAAATATACATAGCAACCCTCGTAGAACTGTCGATAAAGCACATCTCAATCGTATCACCGATTCTCGAAGCACAATCATCCCGGGATGATAGTTTTTGCTTTCAAAAACGAACAATAATTTGAGCTTGTTAAAAAACTGTAATGTCAGAAAAATTAGGGGCCAGCCGAAGCACAAAAGTGTTGTAGTTGCCTAGGAAACTCCAAATTGAAGAGTTCGGAAGAAAAAACTTCTAAGAAACAGTTTAGAGAAAAATTTAAATCTATATAGAAGAATATAAGATAGAAGAAAAATATTTTTTTTTTCTGAATTATACAACTTTATTTAAGTCCTCAAAATTCGTCCACTACCCGGTATACATTTGCCCGATACTCCAAACACTGATGTTTCTTCTAATTTATCGTCAGTAAGTATTAAAATATCGAATAAATGTAATTATATCCACGAATAAATTAAAATCAAATCGGATGTAATAAATATTTCGGACATTCACCAAAGCGACTTTGTGATTGTCAACATTCACCGGTGAAAGTCAACAACCACCGATTTCGATCATTCACAATAACATGCACATCATTTACATAATAACCTCATCAGGACGTTTATTTCATACTTTGCTTAAATAGCATTTGGCATTATATAGAATGCCTAGACAATGTGTGAAATATAAATCATTTCATACTTTGCCGGCTAGTTTTAGGCATTATATATAATGCCGGATTTCATACTTTGCCGGTAACATATATATATGATATAAGTCCTGTCATCATTATGGGTATACCAAAACGAACCAAGAAAAAAAAACTGTTTCACAACGGTTTCACAAAAGCTATAATGGGAATAGTTTAACAGTATATTAGGTTCTATAAACATGATATACGTAAATGAATAACATAATATCACGTGATGCATATACATACTCTGGGTGGCCAGACAGAGCCAACATCCATTCCAGAGGGTTCCACAGCTTCGACAGGAAGTCTGGAATCAGCAGAAGAAGGTGGCGGTGGCCAGTGCGGTTTCGGTGGTGCGGCTGGTGGTGCTTTGTAGGTGATAGGCGTTCCCGAAGTGGAGTTGTGCTCAAAGATATTTCCATTTATTATGTGGGCTCGAGGTTTCTAAATATAAAAAGAAATAATTTCAAAACAAAGGCAATCACGTGTCTTAATAGTGGTTGAAATTAGGGTTTAAACCAAACTAGGAGTTAGGCACAGCTCTTTGCTCGTTCGCTCATTGGATGCTCAAATCTTTTATTCCAGATTTGAATAAATTATGGCACTCTTTTAATACCAAAGTTTTAAAAATATGCAATATGTACATCCTTAAGAACCTTTGATTTATGTACAATATATGTAAAATTATACTTTGATCTCAATATATTTCATTCAATGTATACATTTGACTTATATACCTATCACTGTTAATTGGAAATGTTATTTGAAACAAATATTTCAAGGAATTTCCTGTAAAATTAACTCTCAATTTCAGTATTTGGAGATGCAATAACTTTCAAATTTTTTATTTTACCATGAAGTTGTGAAATGAGTAAAAACCAAAGAAAAATGAAGAAAAAAAAGTAGTAACAAAATCATTAAAAAAATTTAGGTATTATTCCGCCGTTGAAATAAAAAGTTAGGATGAATGGATAGTGTAATACAAAAGTGAAGTATCCCTAAGACTTATAAAATTTCCTGCTATACACAACTGTCTATTTAGGAATTTTCAAACAGAATTTAAAGATTTCACTCTAAAAAGATCTGCATCTCTTTCGCTTTTTCGACTCCATTGATTCTGGAGTTTCATTAAAGCGCCTATCTTTCCTACTTAAATATTATAAACCTACGTAAATATTTATACATCATTAGCTCTAAATTCATAAACATTCATCTCAGAGATCATGCAAAATATGTAAATTCTTGTAACTTTTAAAATGAAAAAGATAGAAAGATGTGCAGTGAGAAAAAAAAATGGACCATTCTAAATAACTTTTGATCTAATGATCCGATCTTCACGCTAAAGGGCTCCATCTTAATGGTTCGAGGGGGTGACCTCAAATATGCTGATTAATTAGTGAAGACGATATTTTAAGTTACGAAATCAGATACAAAAACGTACTTTCTCTGAATAAACATACCTTTTTTTGCAACGGATTCGGTTTTCTGATCCCAGGAATATAGTGGGTAGCCGCAATCTGGGAAATATGGTCCCCACAGTTTGGTCAGGAGAGCGATCGAAATTTTGAACCTCATAATGTTAATTTTGTTTTCTGCGTATTTCTCCCTATCTCAAAAACTTTAAGTCAATTGAAAATTTTTTGGAGACAATTATAAATTTGTTTATCCAAAAATAATTCCTTGCGAAAAATAAATTATAGTTAATATTATTATTTTGTATTATTCTATTTATGATCAAAAAAATTTGCAAATTAGCAATAAAATTAATTAGCAGTCAAAAAAAGTTTGAGTTGAAAGGTATACAATTTTTTTACATCATTTAAAAGTATTTTTTCTTGGCAAAATAAGAAATTTGAGCGAAATCGGTCGAATAGTTGCTGAGAAATTGAATTTTAAAGAAGTCATATATTTCTCAGGAACTATTCAACCAATTTCGCTCAAATTTTTTATTTCGCCATAAAAAATTAAACACTTAAAAATGATGTAAAAAATTGTATACCTTACAATTCAAAATTTTTTAGACTATTAATTTATAAAATAATAAAAACTAATAAATATTAGCCAAAATTTATATTTTGCATGAAATTATCTTTGGATAAACAAATTTTATAATTGCGTGCAAATTTTATAATTGTGTGTTGCTTTTCAATTTGCTTACAAGTTCTAAAAATATTGCGAAATACGGAAAAAATAAAACCAGTATTATGAGGTTCAAAATTTAAATCGCTCTTCTGACCAAACTATGGGTACCATATTTCCCAGATTACGACTATTCCCTATATTTCTGTTTTTAACTTCTCATTTTTTTCCAGCTTACAGCTTAGTTTGTCTTGACTTTTCGATGCCAAAGCGGTCTCCGGGTTTCTAAAGCGGAAGAGCCATCCCTTCCGCTGAGGATCAAAATTGTGATGCAATGTCTCCAGATAATCCTCAGGGATGTTTGGAAACAGTCAATAGCCCATTACTCAGCTTTAGTGAGGCGTAAATGAAATACTACAACCAAACTAACCTTTATATAATTAACAGCTAAAAATGACCCTGAAAATTTAATCTGCAACGCATGAATGTCCGATTTGAAATTTTTATTAATATTTTGCATGTTATTATTTAATGCCGCGAAATCACACTAAAAACTAATAACGAATATTCCGCTACAAAAATGCTTTGTCTCTGAAAGAGTTTACAAATTATGTTTCAGTTCTTCATAAATAGTTCATCGACAGAAGATTATTATGCATTTCTATTAGCATCATACGGCCCGTAACAGACTGTCGTCACGTACTTGAATCTTACGACGTTGTTCTGAAGCTATGTATCACTGAAATATTTTAGCACCTACTCAAACAAATTTAGACTTCAACTCAGATAACAATGCAGAAACAACCTAATTATAACAAAAAACATTCTTACATCATCTTCCTCGATGTTATTCATATAGAGTTGTTGTTGCTCATTGACCTGTTGCAAATGTTGCTCATATTGTTGCCTGTATACAGCTGCCATCGTGTCTCTGTCTTCTTTCGATGCTACGTTGCGAGGGGGAGGAGCAGGTCGAACTGATTGTAGAGGAAAATAAATCTGTTAGTCAAAAAGTACGATAATTTGTTTTGATGCATACAAAAGTATTGATCCTTTTTAACCTATATTAACTTATACAAGATATCTTTAATTTCTTCAACTGAAAATAAGATAAATTTCTCAATGGAATGCATAAGCAAAGAAAACTTATAATTTGCTTTGCGATGCTAACAAGTAACTTAACCTTTATAAGAAATTTTATGAGAGATTTAGAACTTTCTGAGAAACATTTTATACTGTAATGGGAAAAAAGTTAATAATGAACCATTGAATTTTGCATACTATCCTTTTAGTATAATTATGTATGCATGAAATGTATTCTTTTAGTACTAAAATTTTTAAAAATTAGGATAAATTGTATTAAGTAAACAATAAACATTTAAATAATTAAATGAAAATTTATGTCGTTAATTAATAGACGATTGTTAAAAACCATGTAATTATGCGTTATTATAGAGAAAAAATTATGCAAGTCATATGTTTCTACATGGCCAATCGATGATTTTCGTATCAGTTACCACAGTTGAGAAAAACGATAAATAATTTTGACTAACAAATGTATCGAAACAATTTTTACTTTTGTTGCATCGTACATTTCCATTAAATTTAGAGCACCGAGAAAGAGTTGTCAGAATGAAATAAAAATTCTACATACATAAGTACAAATTTGATATAAGTAAATGATAAAAAAATCGAGCAAAATTATTATTTATTGCAATAAAAAATACAAATTAAGGGAGGCTTTAGTATACCCTTTTGGGTTACCTCAAGCGTGAATGCATGATGAGACACGTTCCGTCATTGTGGCAGATAAGTCTCTTACTATGTCCTGAGACATCTTATTCCCCAGTTGTTGCAAAAAATACCGCTAAATCGACAAGGCTTGGAGGGAGTCCAACTTGCCACCCCAAATGCACCCAGATATGCTAGTTCGGTGACAAATCTGGGGATAGAGCAGGTCTGGAAGGACAATGTGACTGAGGCAGTCCTGTGAAACTCTAGCTGTGTGTGGCCGCGCATTATCTTGTTGAAAATTGGCTCCTGAGAACCACACTAGAAGTGGTAACACATGTGGCTGAAAGATGTCATGAACGAACCGCTGTCGTGGCAGCGTGAGCCAATAATATGGGTGATTGTAGGTGTTTGCACAGCCACCCCATTCTTTCACTCCAGATGTAAAAGTGGTGTGCAGCTGTACGGAGAAGGCAGGTTTAAAACGTTTACCGCGAGGCCTCCACAGTCGTAAACGATGGTTATAACTTCCTAAATTAGGTCTGGATTTCATCACTGAAAATGACTTGGTTTCATTTGTTTACTGTCCAATTTCGTCGAGAGAGACTCCACTCCAAACAAAGGCAATGGTAGGTGGGGAGATTTTTTTAATTCACTTACTTATATCAACGTTGTTCTTGCGAAATTTCGTTTCATTTTGATAATTCTTTTTAAGTGTACCAATTATGACGATGAATAAATGGGCTCACTCAATCACTGACGTCATATTTTATAGACACTTTACCAGTTTATTCCAACAAAACAACCTAAAATTTAACAAGAAATTTATAACAAAATATATGAAATTTGCTTATCAAATTTACCTTTAAATTCAGCTCTCGAGACTGCTGTCGGTGTTTCTTGTGCAATTGACTGTTGATATTTTGTTTGCTGTTGTTGTCTTTGTTGTTGATTAACTTGCTGTTGACTAGTTTGCTGTCTTTGTTGCTGCTGAGATTGCAGTTGGATCTGTTGCTGCACTTGCTGCTGCTGATAAGACTGTTGTTTCTGATCTCTACTCTGCTGGTTTTGAATTTGATTCTGCTGGTAAGAGCTCTGCTTTAACTGTTGTTGAGTTGCAACAGGTTGGTGCTGATTTACCGGTTGTTGACTAACTGGCTTTGGTGGAGTCTGGTATTGCTGATGATAGCTTTGCTGCGTCTGCTGATAGTTGATTTGTGGTGAATGCTGATAGCTGTTTTGCTGATAGCTCACTTGTTGTGAATGTTGATAATTTGTTGGAGATTGATAACCAGGGTGCTGTTGATACTGGTTTACTGGAGAACTATATCCAGGAGATGGATATTGATCAAGAGATGGAGAGTGATAGCCAGGTGACCTATGTTGAGAATTTACTTGATACACAGAAGACTGTTGATATTGAACTGGCTGCTCCTGCTGGTGGTGATACTGATTGTAGACCTTTTGAGTAGTTTGATACTCAACTCGAGAAGTTGTTCTCTGCTGATCTTGATGAGTCTGATGATGCGAATCAAAACCGTTGTATATATGTTCCTCAGACGGTGGTTTAGGCTTTGGAGGAGGAGGCGGAGCAACTTTAGGTTTGCTTACCGTGCTAAAATAAATAAAGTACTTTTTCAATTATTTTAATGACTCTTATTTAATAAAGATCACAGTTTTTAAAGTCGTGAAATAATTCTAGAGAACAAATTATTTTTTCCTGCTGCGTGAAATGTATTAACAGTTCTCAGCTATTTTCGGATCGCTAATTTGGAATCAGTAACCAGTTTCTTTTTCCAAGCAACAGATTTTTTAAATGACATTTTCAGTCCATTTTTGACGAAATGTATAAGCTTAAAAACGTTATAGATAAAAGAATGTCACATAAATTATGCGACATACTTCTAAGGAAGTTAGGACTCATCATCAGGCCTGTTCAGAAGCACAGTTCATAATAGAGGAAGAGCCCCTAGCGATTTTTGACGACATTTCCTGTCATGGGTTCCTAGGCAATTTTAATCTCGGTGTTGCGCCCTAACTCCACTAGAAGTTTGCCGCAACAGTAATGCTACCTGCATTTATACAGGGTGTCCCGAAACGACCGCATAAACTCTGCACAGCTAGATTCCTCGTTGGGAGTACATAAAAACTGCCCAAAGAAGCGTTCCTGTACGATCCATAGTTTACGAGGAAAATACAAAAAACTAAGTATGACGTCACTGCCGGTGCAAGAGAAAACACTTTATTGAACATATCAACACCAGTATACTATGCGCAATTTAAAGCAAAATATGCGCGGCGTACGTTTTAAACATTATCGTCTTGAAAGATATGCAAATACTGTCTTTAATATGTCCAATAAAGTGTTTTTTTCTTGCACCGGCAGTGACGTCATACTTTGTTTTTCGTATTTTTCTCGTAAACTATGAATCGTACAGGAACACTTCTTTGGGCAGTTTTTATGTACTCCTAACGAGGAATCTAGCTGTGCAGAGTTTATGCGGTCGTTTCGGCACACCCTGTATATAACGTTTTCAAACTCAGGCATTTCTAAAAAATAATAGATTAAAAATGTCATTTTAAAAAGAATCTGTAGCTTTAGTGTAGCCAAACTAATTTCAGATTTGAAATCAATCCACCCGAATGAGGCAAGTTCAAGTATTTGTATAAAAACAACAAAAAATTTGCTTTCCTATAAAATCAATCAGTACTCAGAGTACTGAGAAAGTTGCCTTTGAAAAGCAAAAACCGTACAAAAGTCATTATAGTTACAGGTGGGGGAGAAAATTATGGATACACTTCTATACTAACTCCTTTTTTCATATTTCTCAAGAAAAACCCAGAACATTTTTTATAACTTCAGAAATGTTTATATCTTGCGAATTCTCATACATATCAATAGAGTTTAATGCTTTTAGAGATTTGAGGGACCGACAGTAAATTACGAACTGAAAATAGTGTTTTAGAACAACCTATGCAAAAAAAATAGCCTTAATCTCGTAATTTGCAAGAACTATTTCGGTTATTATTTGCAAAAGTTGCTTCTAAGTTTCGTAAATCGAACTTAAATATTCATTGAGATCAGGAATTTTAAAAAAAAACTAATTTTTTTGCCTAACCTTTTTTTTACCGCATGCAGTAATATTCAATAAAATTGAACAAAATTTGTAGAGTAATTTTTAATTAATGAAAATTTTAATTATTAAATAATAGTAATATTAATTTTAATAATAATACTTTCAATAATAAATAATGATGAATAACAATAAATTTATTTATTTATTTTTAATTAATTTATTATGTTTAATTGTTTTGAATATTTCTGCAGTTATAGCAATAAAACGTTAGGCAAAAAATTTGTTTTTGTAAAAATGTCTATATCTTCATGAATATTTAGCTTGGTTTACGAATGTGCAATTATTGCATATGACAAAAAAATAATTGATATAAGTTATAAGCTTATTGCAATATTTTTGGGCAAAGGGTGTTAAAAAACATTTTTTCCGTACGTAATTTATTACCGATCCCTTAAATTTCTAAAATCTTTAAACGTAACTGATGTGTATAATAAAGATAGGTTGAACTCCGACCCACCCCAGGGGGGTATACGGAGATAAAAATTAAATTATTACAATAAAAATTTCTCTAAAAACTAAAATTACAGTAAAATTTTGCCAAACGACAGTGGTGGTGATCAGTTAAAAGTGGATTAACTATAATACTTGACAATTAAAAACGTTTTAAAGGCAATAAAATCCAAAGCGCCGGTGTAAATGTCGAGAATTAAATAAGGAAACAAGAGACAAAAAAATCTCGAAACCAAAATCAATGGCAGCTAAAAGTCCTAAGAGTAAATGTCTAAAAGTAAAAGTCTGACTAGAAGTCGATGAAGTCTAAAATCAAAAGTAGATAAAATTTCAAAATGTAAGGCTAAAAGTTGATTACTTAAAAAATTTACGATGACATGCTCTATTGTTGGTTCTTGACTGGGGTCAGTTGATCTGGAGCTAAAATGTCCTCGAGGGTTTGTTTAATAATTTGAGTCACAATTTTCCTGCTGGTCAATACGGCAAAGAATTGGTGTTCCTTTTCGCAGTTATTCATGTGGGTTACACGAAATGCCCGGAATCTTGGACAGCGCTTAATTAGGTGTTTGATGTCCTGTCTCACTCCACAGTAATTACATGAAGCTGATTTTCTGAAAAATTTTTGTTGATAGGTCCCGAACACTCCGTGGCCAGTAAGGAGCTGGTTTAAGTAAAAATTGGCCTGCAGGCGCTTTAAGCTAGGATCTTTAAAAAATTTATAGGTTTCTCTTCCCTTGTCACTAGACCTCCAGTCATCTCTCCAGTGGTTAAAAGTGATGTTCTTAATGCAAGACTTAATTTCACATTTTTCTCCCGGGATCTCAAAATCAATCTGGCCAAGCGGCTTCCTTAGCGACCCAGTCTGCCTCTTCATTCCCTTCAATGCCTGAGTGTGCTTTAATCCAATTTATATTATAGTTACAACTCCACATGGCTTTGGTGTCTTCTATAAGTTTGAGGTGTTTAAGTGGGTCCTCCAGGCTCATGAGTGAAGAAAGGGAATCTGTGTAAATGCTTGCAATTGGAGAGCCCTGATTTTTAAGCCATTGGAGCGCTGACTGTATCGCAAGGAGCTCAACCAGATAAATACTGCAGTTGTTATTCAAACGCGCCGAGATGGTGCTGATGGTTTTGCCATTTATCTTCATTACAACACCATATGCAGTTTTATTTATAAGTCTACCATTGTTCTCAGTTTGAATTCTCGACCCGTCTGTGAAGATTTCAATACCATGGTTAGTTGGAAGAAATTTCCCCCAGGGCAACGCGAGAGAGTTTGAGGGATGAACCAGTTTGGGAGGCAGTAAGAGGTGATCAGGAAAGTACATATGATTTTCAAGCCAATTGATATCTTCTATCAATTGATCTAATGATGTGTATAATGTCTTCTATCAAATGATGTGTATAACAAATCACTTATATTAAACACTTATTAAGTTATAAAATGATTCTTTAAGTATTTCTTGAGAAATATGAAAAAATTATGTAATTATTACGTATTATGTAATTATGTATTATGTTAATATTATGAATTAATGAAAAATGTAATTTTAAATGAACTTTTTTTTTAAATATTTTATTCATTAAAGTTAAAATATTAATTTAGTTACGGTACAAAAGATCGTAAAAGTAGATATCGCAATAATAAGTACATTCCTGGGATCCGATGGAATTTTTAATGAGTATCTCTGAATTCGGAGGCAGAGTTGAAATGGAGCTCTGAAGAAAATCAGGAATCGGAGTTAGAATAGAACTTTTAAATTATTGACTCCATAATTCTGATCAACAATATAAAATTATACACAAATCCTAAACGACATATAGCGACCAAATTAGTAAAGTTAAATTATTTCTATTTTTTAATATTTATTGTCTTTCCCGGTGGCTTTACGTTATTTGATTAAACAAAACACTTTTAAGAAGCTCATCCTTCGCAAAAAAAATTATTCAGTGTAATAAGAATCATTTCGGCATTATGCTGTGGCTCGGGGTCAACTCACGATAGTCAAAATTTGCCATAATTAAGCAATCTTCTTCGGCACTTTTCCCTTTGGAAGCACATTAAGAAACTGATCATCACAGTGCTCGCAATGGTATTAGTACATTTGGTAATTATCAAAAACAGGCTAGTAACCATAAAACCTGCATTATTTATTACCAAAATTAGTTAAGCATCATTGATGTCAATAATAGTACGACAATTTTGAAAAAATACAGTGTAAACACAAAAGAAAAATGGAAAAAAACTGAAGATCAAAACTTGGCAACCATTACGATAATTTTATAAAATTAATTTTATATACAAATTTTATAAAATACAGCAAAATCTTATGTTGTTGTTGCCGTAGGCCATTAAGGCTCAGGAGGTGCGATTTGTCTTATTTTCCAGTGGCGCCATCTATGGCCGAGAATTCAACTTCTGCCGCATTTATACGTCACATTCGTTTATAGGGCGAACAAAACTCATACAGCCATTCATCCACAGATTATAATTTTGACCTGAACCAGAGAATGATCAATCTCCAATCCAGTACCCCCAGAAGTATAATTTCTTATCGGAACACGGAGGACTTTTTGACCCGACAGATTTAACGTACTCACCATTTACTACACGGGGAGTCTTCGGCCGGCAGGATATGAACTCCCGTTCTCCTGAACTAGAGTCCAACGCCCTACCAACTAAGCTATCCCGACCGACAAAATCTTCTGTTTAGTAAAATGACGTGCAATTTTCTTGAAAAAACACTCACACTAATAAAACTTCTTAGAATATGAAACCTATTCATACATCGTCTCGTAAGCATGACATAAGCGGAAGAGAGTATTTTCCGGTTTTTGAATATTGATAATATTTACACTCAGTTTAAATGCTCAGATTAAATATCAAATCAATCGGATCATATTTTTTTTCTTCACGAAAGTAAAACTATTTTCCCTTTGAAAGTCAAACTTTAATTCTAATCACTTCGCATTGTAACAAATTTATATATTACAAGGTAATTTATAATTTGGATAAAAGTAACTTACTTCTGGGGTATGCCTCGCGATTGACTTTTTGTTGAGCCTTCTGAAAAAATACAAATAAAATCAGTTTTGTGATATCGTTATTGATAAACACACTTTAATATAAATTACAGAAAAGGATATTTTAATTTTAAAAAAAATTTATATTTTATGTAACGATATTGAACAGCTGACCCAATTCTGAGTTTACAGAATTCGGTCGTTCTGAGTTGCGCTGAATTCAATGTTCAACTCCGTAAAATTGTAGTTTTGGTCCCAGCCTAGAAGGTAAAGGAACTCCTATTGGGATAAACTAGCCTTCGTAGAGGATTCTTTGCTGAAATCAACCTGCATTCCAAGAGGAAAACCAGGAAAACCTCCCACGTTTAGCCCCGCGGCAAAGGTTTCTAACCCATTATTTGTCAACCACTAATGTTATTTTACGTCAGCACTGTAGTCGGTGCGAACCGGGAGTAGAATTCGCATCAGCCAGCCACTGCTGAGATTCAAACTTGGTCACCTAATTGATATTTATTAGAGAGCTACAGTGGCTCTCTAACAAACAATTGCTTAGTTTTTAAATTCAAGCAATTATCCATTTGGTTGCAATTAATATTTTAACAAAATGTTATAACGCGAAATTAGAATAATTATTTATTTTATAACGAAATGATATTTCTTGTTTGAAAATTATCGAGTTATGAAAAGAAAAAACAAATCCAGACCACCAGTGGGATTGGCAAGAGAAGCGAGCAGGGAGCGGAGCCTCTTAGTTGAATATAAGTTTTTAATAATGTCTGTCTGATTTGTGTCATTTTTATCTTGTAGCTACAAAAGGTAAAAATAATTAAAAAAAATACAACCATGTCGGGAATTAAATCAGGTACTAGTTCTGTAGCAAACATAATATCCTCTGTCTGTTTTTCTACTTATCTACGCATTGTTACGAGTCGAAATAATAGAAGAAAATGCGTATATTCTTGAAAATCATAATAAAAAGTTTTAAAAAAATTAATTATATTTGCCCCTATGCATAACTTTTACAAACTTATGTGAAAAATTTTAATTTTCTTTTTTTCTTTCTTTCTCTATCTTTTACTAATAATTCATACAAATATTTATATAATTTTTACTTAGAATATATTATTTCTGTGACATTACTTTCCCTTACTTAGTTCTTCGTTTTAAATCAAAAATTTTGCATTTATAAATATTTCATATTCAAAACTAATATTTTTATAGCTTATTTTCTTAAACTATGAAGATATTAATTACATTTTATAATAATGTAGAAATACCAATGCTATTTATAAAAACCTCGATCAGTATTCTACTAAACAAGGAATCGTTAGTTACCTTCAATGAATTTCACTCTACGAATTATATTCTATGAACAATATTCCGTGAATCATATTTTATGAAAATATTTAATTAATTATATTCTATCAATTCTAATTTGCAAAGTTGTTCAAATCAGCAGTAAAAATCAGGTACCCGGAAGATTTTCCTTATCCGATGATTACCCAGATCGGGCAGAAGAATCCGGTACCGGGAATTCGGACCGGGTGTTTAGTCAAAAAACCCAATAAAAAATCTGAAATCAAATGCCGAGAATCATTTCTAAATGAATATGAAAGTTAGCTAAAAAATTAGAAATCAGGAATTGCATTGATATTTAAAGTTAATACCGCACACCAGATATTAAATCTAGATATTAAAATCTAAATTTTACCGGGAAACTGGATTCGGCTGGGTAATAAACAATTTTTTACAGTTACCCGGTACCAATTGGGTAGAAGATTCATTTGTCCCCTTGTAGCTCGGCTTTGATCCTGTCCCGCCCCCCAAACCCCGGGTAGTGGAAACCCGGAATCGCAGAAATTTTCGAACCAGGTACTTTTCTAGTCTGAATGATTAAAAGTCCCGAAGAAAAGAGGTAGGCGGCACATCATATAATTTATAATTCTTTCCAATTGAAAGAATTATAAATTATAGTTCGAAAAATTAAATGATTCTTTCATGAACGTTATAAAGAAAATTAGGGTGTACAATTTACCGACTCGCTGTGTATTCCCGGATTCCCACAGGTAACGTAGAAGTAGTTAATGTAGTTAATTAACGTAGTTAATTGTTTATCTAGATCTGGGTTAACAGATATTTCTGCGATATATACAAGCATATTTTGTTCCTTCTTTTCGCAATGTGCTGCTAAAGGGAAAACTGAAACTGACAAAATAAAATTCGCAACGAAGCTTGAATTTGGTGCAAATATTACCAGCTAAGACTTAGCCTCGAGCCCTGTTTCGAAATTTATCATGCTAAACTTAATTTCTAATAAATGTTTTGTAAATACTTTTCATATTTCCATTAGTATCCATACGTTTTACCTAAGCATTTCATAAAATAAATCACAATTTAAACAAAGTCCATAATCCGAAATTTGGATTTCATTCACCACCTACCAATAAGTATTTGGACACGTGTGATTGAAAAGAAAAACAAACTTTATTCATAATCAACAGTTGGTTGAGCCTCCACGAGAGGCCATTACAGCGTGAACCCTCCGGGGCATACTTTCCACAAGTCCTAGTGTGACGGCTAGTGGTATTTTCCTCCACTCGTCTTGGAGAAGAAATGTAAATTCTTTCACCGATTTTGGACGGGTAGTACACCCCTTAATTCGTCGATCCAACTCGCCCCAAAGGTTCTCGATAGGGTTCAGGTCTGGGCTCTGGACAGGCCAGTCCATTCGATTAACCCCATTAGCACCATACCAAACCTTGGTGACCCTCGCAACATGAGAGCTGGCATTGTCGTCCTGGAAGTGACAGGGGTCCACTCCGTGAAACTGCCACAACGTAGGAAGCATATAGTCATCCAAAATAGTGCAGTAGGCATCTTGCATGGGACTAATGCCGATGTTATTCCCTACACGATATATACCGGCGGAGGGCGTGACGTATCTCAGAACCCAGATATAGTCATTTGCATGGGTGTCCAAATATTTATTGGTAGATAGTGCATGATTAATCTCCAATTTCAACTTTCCGACAACGTTTTCTTATGATCTTATTCTATACTGATAAAAACAAACATTTTACCAATTTTTTTTTTTTAAATTTTAACTCTTAAATACGTCTAGATTTAAAATAAAACTTTAATGTATTTAAAGTGCAATTGAAAAAAGTATGCAATTCTCAAATCTATTTTGATAAATGGAATAAAAATTACGCATGGAGCGAGGTTTTATCAAAAGTACCTTAGCAACGTACCTTGGTTGGCTTGCTCTTCCAGAAGTTTGAAAACTGCTGATTTCTCTTTAAAACTTAAATTCTCGGGTGCTTCTTCTTCCCTGATGAAATTCAAGAAAAGAAAAATATAATAAAAACTTATAACATGATAAACATATAAGAAAGTTTAAAAATATAATTATCCTATATGAAAATTTTACGTAGTTGGGTATTTATTTTCGTATTTAATTTTACATTTGTAGTTTAATTTTATATTAGTATAAGCACAAATAATTTTAGAATTAGAATTTGATGAAAGTTTTCAGTCTTAACAAAAAGCTAATATATTATTATGCATTTGTTATGTTAGCTCAAAATTTCGCCTCCGGGTTTTAAATTTTTTTAATTTTAGTTCTAAAGATCTATCCTGTTTAAAAAAAATAAGGACTAGAAAAACTGTAACATAACTTTCAAGATACAGTCTAGTCCGCTTAAAAAGAGCCTAAAAAAATTGCCAACTGAAATCGAAGAAGNGCATGGGTGTCCAAATATTTATTGATAGATAGTGCATGATTAATCTCCAATTTCAACTTTTCGGCAACGTTTTCTCATGATCTTATTCTATACTGATAAAAAAAAACATTTTACCAATTTTTTTTTTAAAATTTTAACTCTTAAATACGTGTAGATTTAAAATAAAACTTTCATGTATTTAAAGTGCAATTGAAAAAAGTATGCAATTCTCAAATCTATTTTGATAAACAGAATAAAAATTACGCATGGAGCGAGGTTTAATCAAAAGTACCTTAACAACGTACCTTGGTTGGCTTGCTCTTCCAGAAGTTTGAAAACTGCTGACTTCTCTTTAAAACTTAAATTCTCGGGTGCTTCTTCTTCCCTGATGAAATTCAAGAAAAGAAAAATATAATAAAAACTTATAACATGATAAACATATAAGAAAGTTTAAAAATATAATTATCCTATATGAAAATTTTACGTAGTTGGGTATTTATTTTCGTATTTAATTTTACATTTGTAGTTTAATTTTATATTAGTATAAGCACAAATAATTTTAGAATTAGAATTTGATGAAAGTTTTCAGTCTTAACAAAAAGCTAATATATTATTATGCATTTGTTATGTTAGCTCAAAATTTCGCCTCCGGGTTTTAAATTTTTTTAATTTTAGTTCTAAAGATCTATCCTGTTTAAAAAAAATAAGGACTAGAAAAACTGTAACATAACTTTCAAGATACAGTCTAGTCCGCTTAAAAAGAGCCTAAAAAAATTGCCAACTGAAATCGAAGAAGTGGATTGCTTCTTTTTAAGAAAAGGGTACATTAATCAAACTTAAATACAATAATTATATGAATTTTTAATTTGATATGGTACACATTATAACGTTTTTAAATACCCAGTCAATGTGGTGGATGTAGTCTTCCTTTATCATGGCTTGAACCGGGGTTCGATCCCTCGCGTAAAAAACCAGGAATCTAATTAACTGCACTTTTTCCAGTCGTGTCTTAGTAGTTCAGTAAGTAGGTACTTTATTTACGTCTCACTAGAGCTGCACAATGATCTATTGGCGACGATCGAGGAGACATCCCTGAGGATAATCCGAAGACATGTCATCGCAATTTTGATCCTCTGCAGAAGGGATGGCTCCCCTGGTTTGTCAAACGACGACCTGCGTGCAGTCGAGCACTTTACGGTAGAACAGTTTAAAGAGGACCGATACCACGCACCCTCGGTCCCTACGCAGGCTGATCAATGTAGCCACCCACCCGTTCCTTGACCTGCAGCCTGTGATGCTTGTGTTCTGTGTTTTACTGGGAACCGTGTCTTTACGATCAGTCTACCGCGGGACCTTAGTAGTTTGAAATCTACTTAAAGAGCACGGCAGTTTAAAAGCTTTAAAAGTACATGCACAGTTGAGCAATTAGTGATTATGGTGCAGAGGTCGAGCGATTGCCACCATCAGAACTCCGATCAAAATTACAAAACATCTTTAATGAAGAATCCCAGTCATTAAACGGGATCAACTTTATCAACAATAAACTACTTTATGATGAACTATTTGTGAATAGAATCAGAACTAGTTTGATGACCTGATGACCATCGACAGGTTTTGGTATTATCTTTATTCACATAAAAAATTATTAAAGCAAGTCACTTCTAATGAGCTAGAGAGACATTTCCCATACTAAATGTGATAGAAATTAAACTCAATTTAATCAAAACTATAGTACACTTACTCTCCGGAGAATTGGCCTTCAGTCAAAACTTCAGTTTGCTTGGCAAGAGTATCTGCTATATTCTCAGTCGAATATAGCGACAACGGAGAATTATAAGGATTGTGAACTACAGCCTTGATAACTGGAGGCTCCTACAAATACATACAATTAACAGGATGCTTCGTATAAGTCGCGTAATAATAAATACATTCAGAACACTTGTAAAAAAAGTAAAATATATATATATATAACTACGTATTATATAGAAAAATGTAAAATAATATTTAAGCGAGGAAAATAAATGGCAGAGAAATCTGTCAAATTACTAGTGATTAAAGCGGTAGGAAAAGTTTCAAAAGTTGTTTGGTTGCCTGATGAAACTTGGAGGTGTTCTTAGTGATTACCTTCAACTCTTCTCTGTTTCTTCAGGTAATCAAAGAGGTTTTGATGCTTTCAATGTTGCTTTAATCAACAGTGATTCATTGTGGTTTTCCAATCCATGTAACGTTAAGGCGGTTTAATTCCATCAAAAACTCCCCCAACGACCTATTTGATGCCCCAATGACCCAAGAGTTCTCTCGTCTTCTGGATCGGGTTCAAAATTATGACCGACACGGAGTTGAACAAACACAAAAATGGTTCGGTTATTCAAAGCTGGCGATAAAATAAAAGAAAAAATAGTGATTCCTTAAATTTCGAAAACGTTTTTGTTTATTTCTAAGTCAAATTTTGATTTGCAACCCGAATGCGTAATTTTTTTATTTCATTTTTGACATAATTTCAAAAGGTGATATACATTATGGGTGAGAGTTATGGAACATGCTGCATACAAAATGTATGGTAAATAGAATACATGTACTAGTAGAAAATAATAAATAGAACGGGGGATTCAAAAGGGCCGGGAAAGCGTGGTCGGTAAGGCGTTGGGCCCATGTCCGAGAGTTCGTGGGTTCGAACCCCGTGTAGTAAAATGTTGACTGATGCATGTTAAATCTGTCGAGTAACAAAGTCCTCCGTGTTCCCATAACAAGTCAACACCTCTGGGGGTAGTGGATTGGTGATTGGTCGTTCTCTGATTCAGGTCAAAATTACGATCTGTGGATGAATGAATGGATGTATGAACGGGTCCGCCCTATAAACGGGTGCGACGAATGGGTGTGGCAGAATTCGAATTCTTGGCCATAGATGGCGCCATTAGAAAACAAGAACAATCGCACCCCTCTGTCTAAACAGGCATACGAAATCAACCAACCAGGATTCAAAAATGTAAATAAAATATAGTTTTTTTTTATTTATTTAAAGCCGACATTTTTATTTGAACCTTAATGAAAACATTTGAAATTATGTATAAAACAACACAGACGTAAATGCTTCAGTATTTGAAAAGAAATGTCGACTGGATTCTGAAAACACTCAACCTTATGGTATAACACAGAGGTTCCCAGTTTTTTTCGGCTATGGATCCCTAAATGATCGAGCTTTTTTCGGTGGAACCCCGACATTATAAATAAAGTTTATTAGCAGCTGTGAAAGGACTGAGTGAGGAAAGATAACCAATTGTATTGAAAATATTTAGTAAAAAGTTTCTTCATTGTTTAATCAATATAAGTTTTAAAATTAGGTTTTACGTCAGGTATTTGAATTCACATAAATGCAAGAAAATATTTTAATCAAAACCAATGAGAACAAGACCATAAGAGCTTCATGTTGATTAACATTCTAACTTATTCTGGAGACGCTTAGCTCAACTTTAACACGCCATTTTGCTCATAAACTATTGGAGAGCCATGCTGGCTGAGGGGATATTTTTTTATTTTATAACCGTCGTTGAACAGCCGACCCAATTTCATGGGTTTACGACTACTTACGTTCAACTCCGTAGCCTTGTAATTTTGAACCAATCCAGAAGACAAGGAAACTCCTGGATCAGTACCCCCAGAGGTATTGATTTGTTGTGGGAACATGGAGGACTTTGAGACTCGACAGATTTAACGTGCATCAGTCACCATTTACTACACGGGGAGTCTTCGGCCGGCGAGGATCGAACCCACGACCTCTTGGATATGGGCCCAGTGCCCTACCGACCAGGCTATCCCGGCCCTTCGCTTCCCAAAGAGCATTCGCTTCCCAAAATGAGATGAACCGGGTTCGAATCGCAGTAATGGCTGGTCGATACGAATTCCACATCCAGCTTGCACCGCCCACATTGCTGACGTAAAATATCCTCAGTGATAGACGGATCATGGGCTAGAGTCCTCTTGCCATCAGGCTGACCGTGGAAGTTTTAAGTGGTTTTTCTCTCCGTGTAACGCAAATGCGGGTTAGTTTCAATAAAAATTCCTCCACGAAGGCAAATTTCTCTCAATACTTGATCCAAGAGTCCCCTTGTCTTCTGGATTGGGTTTAAAATTAATAGAGCAATGGAGTTGAGCATTGGGAGTCGTAAACCCAAAAAGTTTGGGCTGCTATTATTCGACGGTTATAAAATAAAACTATCGGCTGACGTCTTAGGTCACATGTGCAAATTGCATCATCCAGAGGAAATTATTAATTCCTCCTTTTGTACTACCATCTGCTAATAATAGAGATAATCACCGTCAGGAATCAGGTGAATACCCAAGTCTGGAGTCCTTTCTTACCATGACTAGTTTTTTAACCTTTAACACATGTGTCGACACAAGCATGTCAAACACAGGGTAAAAGCAAAAACACGAGCAATGAGTTCACGTAAGAATAGACTCATAGAATAGACTCAGTCAGTATAAAAAATTTCAAAGATCAAAATCATCAGTAGCTAGAGTCAGATAAACTATATTATAGACAGACAGCTCAGAATTTAAAAATCAGCCCATATTTATATTATAATACAGATTAGATAAAGAAAAGGAAAGATGAGAATTGAATATAAAAAACAAGAAACTCAAGCAGGTGAAACCTCGAACAGTTGGAAGATCCACGACACTTATGATCCTGGTGTCAGTTTCAATAGAATTGTAACTCGCTCTCAAACGGCATTCTGTAGACTAAAGAATTCAGATTCGGACCTGGAACTGTTTTGTGATCCCGAAAGGCATCAACCTCCTGGAATGCCTCACCTTATGGAGACATTGAAAGGAAAGTATGGTGCAATACCGAACACCATTATCACCAGAAGCACTGGAAAGCACCTGACAGAATCTAAGGACTTGATAAAAGCGGTAGACGAATACAAGAAATATAAACCCGAAAAAGAGGAAGAAAAAGAAGAAAAACCAGCGCCAGAGAGAGCTAGAGGATGAATAAGGGAAGAAAATTTAATCAATCATCTAAAGGAATTCGTTTCTCTAAATTAGTAAATTTAAATCAATAAAAGGTTGCTTGAGAAAATCCTTTTGTTTAAGTAATGAAAACAAAAAGGGTATATTTGAGGGTGCCCCTGCGAAGTTGTGATCGCGATTGATCGCCAAGCTGGGCGATGTTGAGAACCAATCGTGATTCTGATTGGTTTAGATTTCAATCGTGATTCCGATTAGTTTAGAATTTAGCGTTGTTTTTAAATGAATTTTTAAATGTAATTTCAGAGATCCGTTAGTTTTACTTTGGATACCGGCCGGTAAGGTTACTTCTGCTTCTGGTACTAAAAATGAATACTGTCAATAGGATAAATCTTAAGTTTCTGTACGATTTGAATAACAATGAATAAAGAGCAGTGATTGACTGGTGTATGAATGAAGGTTTAATTAATAATAGATATAAATTAATAATAGTTTGTGGGTTACCACGGCGTTCCGGGCAAACAAGTATGGCGCCAAACATAAGTCGCCAATTTCGCCAAGGGGCACCCTCAAGTATATTTTTCCCAATATAAAAGGTAGGAAAATTTATTTAAATTGAATAAGTTTAAAAATGAGAGTTTTAATAATGTAGTATTTCAGTATATGGTATAGGCGTCGTTTTAAAGAAGTGTCACCGAAACAAAATGGTCGTTTGAATTTTAGCAATAATATTCCAATTTAAATAATTTGCCTAATTCACAAAATGACGATGATTTAAAGGTACCAGAGAGCAAAAAAATTTCACTATTATTTTTTTTTTAATTTATTTTTTAGTAGTTAAAAAATAAATAAAATAAACAATTTATAAACAAAAAGGTCCACTTTTTTGACGATTATTTGCTTGTGCCTGGCTAACCGAAGAATACCTGATTTAATTAAGTATTTAAGATTAGTTCAGATCAACTAATACAAACTATAAAAAAAAATTAGATTACGCCATACCTGCCAACTTTAAATCTTTTCGAGCATAATTTGCTCAAGTGGTAGTAAATTGAAAATTGAAATATAGATATAATCAGAAATGTATTTTTTATTGAGGTAAAAGCTTTTGGTCAGATTGGTTACGTTTCTTTTAGCAGCATTTTAAATGTATCAATCGCCAAAGATAAAACACACCATAATAGACTATCATGTATTCATATATATGTGTGATTTCTATAATTGCAGTGTTGGTTAAAATTATTTTAAATTAAATTTATAGAAAGCATAAATAAAGATAATATATAATAAGATATTATAGGAAAGCATTATAAATAATCAAGAAACGGAAAGCATAAATTTTACTGTCAGTTCAAAAATAAAATTTGCGCAAAATATGGCAGATATGTTTCTTAAGCCGACGTATTTCGCTAAATATTGTGCATCCAGTGAACTAAAATAGTTCTTTTTCAAACTGATTTATAATTTTTATTTAAGTTGTTGAAGTTACCTGCAGTAGGTGAACCTCGGTCGAGTCATTACAAAATGAGGGCTCTATATCCTGAACTAATAATCTTTGATTTCTGAAAAAATTTTATTGAATAAAAATAGATAATTTTTGACGTTTTCAATCGCGAAATAAATATTTTTGCTATCAAGATGGTTTATAAGAAATATATTAATTTCCTTGACAAAATTACTGTTTAAATTGTGTTTTACATTTGGTCAGATAGTAGTTTTTTAGTAATATCTAGGGGGGAAAAATTTCTTCTTCATCAAAGGCGAAATTCCAAATGAAGTTCCTATTTGTTTAAAACAGCTATTGTGTTAATAATAACCTTAGTTAAAACGGGAATCCTTTAATCACAAATCTGTTCGCTTCCGTAATAAAATTAGAAAACAATATGTTCGTATTTGTATATATTTGCAAAAATATCGTGTCGTGTTCGTTTTTTGGTACTTTCACCAAAATAGTAATTACCAGAATTCAAGAAAAGGAAACTAATTTTTTCACTCGGAAAATTCTTCTCATAAAAATTCTTTCATTATATTCTGAAAAATTCATTTATTTTAACAATTTTATTTACTCATTCAATATATAATTGAACTTTAAAGTAATGTAAGTACAGTGTAAATTATTGGTTTGAAACATAAAATAGTATTTTTTGGTTAGCCGGATGCAAGGAAATTTAGCTTTTAGTTTATTTATTAAATTTTTATATGTTTAAAAAATGTAATGTAAGTACAGTGTAAATTATTGGTTTGAAACATAAAATGGTATTTTTTGGTTAGCCGGATGCAAGGAAATTTAGCTTTTAGTTTATTTATTAAATTTTTATATGTTTAAAAAAATAAAAATAAAGCTGGCGGAGGTCTACATTTTCTGGCGAATTTTCCCTTGTGCCTGGCTAACCGAAAAGAACCCATAAAATAAAGGTAAATAAAAATATTTCAAGGTGTCGTAAAAAATTTACTAACAAGCGTTTTAAAATTATAACGCTTCTAGAGTAGAATCGAAAGCTTCTTGGTTTGGCGATAATTTTCGTTCATTTTTGCTGAAATCCCATTTCTGGTTACCATGATTAGGAGCCTTAACCATGATATACTTTGCGGTCTTTACTTTCAATGACGTCACCTTTGGGGTACCGCAACTTTTGTTTACCTTTATGTGATTGGTTTTAGGTTTATTTACATATATATTCGATTATTTGTAAATCACCAAAAATGAGAGGGGCCCGCTTTTGTTTACTATTACCGGTATCTAATATGCTAACATTGGTACCTGATATATGTACTGAGGTAATAGATTCTCCCAGAAATCTATTAGGTTCCTATTACACAATACTAGTTGTAAAATCTAATCAAGTTAACTAAAACGGAGGTTAAAAATTATCCAAAATCTAATAAAGCTAAATAAATTAATGACATATAATCAAGCGTTAAAACTTAACAACTTTTTTAATCCGAGGAAAGAATTCACAGAACACAAAAAAAAATGACTTTTGTTTATATATTTACAAAAAAATTAAACAATTTCTCTCTTGACTCGATTAACTGTGGTCATAATTCATGATTATTAACATGAATAATAAAATAAATGATTAATTTTCAGTTCATCCTTTTTTGACACTAGTTGTGCCATGCCAATTATTACAATTAATTAAGCATTACTAACGTCAGTAATAGTTTGGATATTTTTTTACTGCCCCCTAAACGCAGTAAAAATTTAATACTAGGATTTATCCTAAAGGAAAGGATTAAAGTAGTAGCGATTCAAGTACAAACCGTAGGAGTTTTTAGTTTTCATCGAGCTGATAGGGGAAAAAAATTTATGCCTCACCACGTAGCAAAAGAGTGAGTTAACTCTCAAAACAAAATTACCAATATTTGTTTTAATGTTCAGGCATTTATCCGTTAACTGGATATTAGACGAAAATCCTTGTGCCAAATCTGGTTAACCAAGCTTGTAAAGTAATAAAAAGAAAGATGTCTACTTAGATTTATGTAAATAGATTTTTATTATTATTATTATGACTTTTTATAGGTTTCTTTTATTCGTTGGAGTGAAATGTAAATAAATAAATATCCAGCTATTGCACTGAGTGGCGATTTTCACCACGCATCGCCTTTTTCCTTGTCTTCTGAATTCACAAACTTATGAAGCTATACGTAAATAACAACACATATGGTATGTAGACCAGAATTTCCTAAAGGGTGTTTAGTGGAACCCTAGGGGTCCGTGGAAAGGTCTCATGAGTTCCCAGCCTGGGAGGTTTTTTTTTAACCAGTTATGAAACATGTAATTAAATTTATATCCAATTAATTGCCCATTATTTATTTAATATTTCCTTGACTCTTACGAAATGAAATAAAATATGCATGAAGAAAGAAAATTCGAAACAAAGGCTTTTTGTATAGTAATATAATGAATGAATTATGAATGCATTTATGAAAAATTGCATATATATTTAGCATCGAAAAAAAATAAACAAAATTCTACAAAGAAGAAGTATCCTCTGACAACCATTCTCAACGTTTATATTCGTTCTTTTTCGTTTTTATTTTAATTGAAACCTAATGGAATTTTCAGTTTATACACAATTCATTTTCATTCATTTCCTGTTTATACACATTTCATTTTCAGTTTATACACACACTTAAATTAAAATAAAAATGAAAAATAAATGAATAAAAATAAAAAAAACTAGAGTATATGCCGTACCAGTGAATTCAACTGTCTGAGGGAAGACTCAATTCTAAGATTAATATCGATAAAACTATACGATGAAAATATTTCATTCTTCATTCATTTTTCTAAATATTTTCAAAATTATCAATGAAATTTAGATCACTGCATATGTTAAAAGTGATTTATAGTCTTTCATTAAGTAATACGTTCACAATTGCTAATGAAATTTATTCAGTAAATGTTGGGGAACCGTTAAAATAAGGACAATCATTAAGGAGTCTACAGCTGGAAAGCATAGGGAACCACTAATGTAGACTATTCATAGCCAATAATGAAATAAACAATAAGAACATTTCACAGTAAGAGTGTTAGAAAAAATGCCGATAACTGTTGCTTTTATCATTTATTCATTTTTTATATGTAACCAAGTTTTAATAAGTTATCCAAAATTATTAATAAAGAGGGAGCTTACCTTTCCTTTCCTAGGAGAAAATAAATCCTCCCTGAAAAAAATTTAAAAATATGTTACACAGCAATATCAACCAAAACAGTTAAATAAATTTTTAAAAAATAACGAAAGTTGTAGGATTTAATTAATTTTTCTTCCGAGTTCATTTCAAAGTTCACGGATAGCTTAACAGATGGCAGCACCAAATTTCGCAAGTTTTATGGTTTGTTGCCAAAACATGAGTAATAAAAAAGACAAAATGAATCTTAAAAACTTGTCCAAGGGCAAGAAGTAACAGGCGGTGTATTTTGATACCTAAAACCTGACTTCTTTTGGATAGGATCTTCATACAGCTGTCTTCGTCGCAAGATTTTTCTTACCTGTCAAAGTTAACGTCTTTTTTTTTCCCTCTTACTCCCAAAACCTTGTTTATCTTCCGCTAATTTCCGTTTTAACAAGCATTTTTTTTTTCCTTTTGAAATTTCTTCTATTGCGTGACATGAAACACTGTGGAATCATATGCTCTACTGATCCAAAAATACCCTTCTTTCATAAATAATTTGTGTTTAAAAATATTTTTGCAAACCTAATTATGTTACTCGCGAATTGGTTGTTTAGTCTAACACTTTCATATTTATTAAAGTATTGCCTATCTATATTTTTAGTGTTTAGTACATTTAATCTGTAGGCTAAATGTTGGCCTCATGCAAATAGTAATGTCAGATAAATACTAACTAGTGGGTTCCTCCCCCAGCTCTCTGACGCGCCCCAGCCATCGAAGATTGCTATGCAAACATTGCTCGCCTCGTTCGCTAAGTTAAACCTATATAAAATGTGTCCTTGCGTAAAATCATAAAAACTTAAATCCCTTATTAAATTCTTTAAAAATAATTCCTCGTTTTAAAAAAAATCTAATTTTTTAGTCCATATTACGTTGTTAAAATAAAAAATAATAAAATTAAATAAATGACATACAATAGAAAAACTTGCAGAAACTAACAATAATTATGCTTTTAAAAAGCAATTTGGAAACTTAAGCATTAATACTCATCTTTCAATGAATAACAATAACAATGAATACAATTATTATTATTGAACCCTCATAAGCATACTTAAAACATAACTTCAAAAGTATGTTATTCGATTTTAAACTTCCGACTTACAGATCAGTTTGTTTCATCTTTCAGTTGTCGACTCGAAAAAAGAATTTTCATGCAAAAATTTGTAACTCTTTTGTTGTTTACGCCTTCGTGCTCACGTAACAGCTCACACGAGTCTCACGCTTGATATTTCAATTCTTTATTGCAAACGCGATAAAGAAATGAGGACTTTCTTTGTTGCCGTGTAAGAGACGTATATATATAGATACTTTGACTTCCACTCCAACTAGGATACGGTAACACGACATTTTAAAAATAATTTTAATAAATGGAAAATTAAGTACAATGGAAATAATTATACTGGATTTATTAAAAAACGATTGTGTCATTCTTTTCATCAGGGAAGAACCAACGAGGCATTAAATACATCGTCGACACTTTATTATAATTTACCCAGTAGATTTAGAAATACCATCAGCACTATACCACTGTGTCTACTGTATGTGGTACTGTATCATGATTTTGCATAAATATTTATAATTCGGGGAGTTAGACGACATTATTTTTCCTTATCATAATTACTTCCATTTCATTTGCACTTGGGCTGCCACTTATAAAAATTATTTTAAGTGGCTAAATCATCAGGGTTTTGGGCAAATAAGTAAAATCCTATTTAATATTATTATCCTATATTACCTGCACTTTCTTCTTAAATTAAAGGTATATTTAATTTAAAAATAATAATCATACTAATCAAATACTAAGAATTTAAACAAGCACATACATTAAATTATAATTTTAAAAAATCCAAAATATTTTTCATTCACATTTTTTTAACGAAATATTTTAAAACCAAATGCAATTTATGCGATATAAGTCTAGAACTAAGTTGGAGCCTAAAAACAAGAATTGTCTAACTCCTTTTAAAAAATAGAATTAGCATATTTCTTAAAGGAATTAGCTTTCATAACCAATGGCAATTCCTTTTTTTAAGAAAAGTACATAATTAAATTATTATAAAAAAAGCCACAGATATATTTCTTTTCTTTTACAATGGTTTAAATAAAATTATTGGAAATATAGAATAATAAATGCGATATAAGTTTAAAACTAAGTTGGTACTTAAAAACAAAAAGAAAAAAAAAGATTAAATAAAAAAGAACGAAAAAGGAAGAGAAAATCATAAGATTAATCTAAGTGCACAAAAAGAACACAAAAGCTGAACAATTTATTTTGAATGATTTTTCTCTGGTACATATCATGTGGAAATAAAAGAGAGAGAAAAAGAGAACAAAAAGTACATTTTCATAATATTTTGCAACTTTGATCCAAAATAAAAACCAAAATTTCCTCCACCAGGATATACTTGAAATAGTCAATGCTGTTTGAATACAAGGGTGATGAAATGAACTTTTTATAGTAAAGAATGTTGGTTCAATAAAGAATGAAAGACTGTACTATTTGTAAATAGTATATGTGCCTCAAGATAACACGATTTCCCCATACTCCACACTTTTTTCCTCTCCGTTATCACAGTTGCAGCAAATCTTGCTTTTTCCCCCTCTCTGGTATGTTCCAACTTCTTTCAGAAACGTAATGCCGGGGATAACATGCAAGCTTTGCGGAAACCATTGTAACAGAAAACTGAAAATCGGAGAAATCGAGTAATGTTGAGGCGTCTATATTTGTATTCTAATTACAAACAGAATAAACGAGGGATTCTCTAACATTTGTTCATAGATATCCCAATTCTAGACAACTTTAAAATTTCGAAAACCACTTTTACTGTTAGATACAATTTGAATATTTGAAAATTTGTGAGAAAAGAAATAGAAAAACATATTTTCATCTAATGAATTAAATTTAATTTTTGCTATCAATAGACTTCTGTTATGTTTATCTACATGCTATGGTTATTAACATTACTTTAAGGTGTTATCTACAAAATCATATAAATGCATTCCTCCATAAATCAATATATCCCCCAAATTTCGTCTACAGTTTCCAAAATAATGAAATAAATGAAAAGCAATAATGAACAAAAGATCATTCTGAACTTTAAAGTTAATCTATTTAAATTTACTCAAAGGCCAGTTGAAATCATTTTCTCCTATGATCTTCAAGTGACGTGACGTGTGGGTCAGTCAATCAGGCCCGACACACACGCTTGACATCGCTTGCAGGAATCCAATTAAATCTGATCCGAAAATTGATTCCGAAATAAACCGAAGCTATAAAACTGTAATATTAACGCACCATGCACAATCACGTGATTTGACATAATCATACTATCAATTTCAACTACTCAATTGGAAACTTGCACGCGAGGTCACGCAAGGCTTAGCCACTGAGGTTTGAAACACACGTGTGACGTCGCTTTAAGGTGTCCAATTAACTCTGGTCCGAAAATCGATTCATCGTGATCATAAACCCAGCCTTAAAGCTGAAACGTTAACAAACCTTGCGCAACAGTGTAATTAATTGCAAGTTATCAATTAAATCTGATTCAAAAATCGATTCAACTTAATTATGAACATAAGCCGTAAGGCTGTAACGTTAACACGCCGCACATAACCACGTGATTAGACTCAACCATGTGATTAATTGCGTATACCCGATTATTAACTTTTCGAGAGAACAGAAAACCTAAATAACTTTTGATCTAATTTTCACGCAACAAGATGCAATCTTAATAATATTCAGGGCCGCTTTAGAAATGTCAATAATTTTATGCTATATTTTTGACGTAATCTGATTCGTAACTCACATATTGTGGGGTTATAATATACGGTCATAATAGTTTAGTCAAAAGAGCAAGCAAAAGTTTGGGTCATGTTATGCTTTTGCTTTTAGTACACAATTATAAAACTTATTTATCCAAAGATAACTCAATGCAAGATATATGCTCTTCATTTGTAGTTATTTTATAATTATTTAATTATTATTCCCCTCATTAATGATGGAAAAACTTTTGAATTGTAAAATGTACAAATTGAAAGTAATTTTGGGCTTAGAAATTTTATTACTCAATAGCTTGGTTCCTCGAGTTATTAAGAAATAATCTTAGTAAGTGAAAATCCTATCATCTGATCTCATCATTTAACTTTTCCATTTCTTTTTGTTTCTTTTAACGTTTAACGTTTTTTAAACGTTCGATTGAAAGCAAAAGGACAGTAAAGTGATATTTGTTCAACTTGACTGCCCTTATCAAAAATCGCATTAATCATATATTATAAGATGGGAAAGCCTTTCTAACCTAAACATTTTTCTATTTTACCACGTTTATATTAACTTGCCTTCGTGTATGCCTGTTCGGGTGGAATTTTGTAATCGATTTTAAACTAACTTCCCGACTAGCTACAGACTTCAAATTTGGCACATAGTTCAGAATTGGATCACAATGTATGAAAATGAAGAAAAAGAATAAAATAAAATTAAAATCAAAGAAAAATTAGTATTTTCACTATTGTCTTTTATTGTCGATTCGATTATTTCAAATGAGTGTCATATGTGAGTTGAAAAGTTTTGTGTACAGTGAGTGAAAAAATTGAGATTTTGGAAGTGAGTACAAAAACAAAATCAAAATAGAAAATAATATTTTTAAAAACCACGTTTTTGTAGTGGAGAATAATAATTAAAAAATAAAAATTTGAAAAACGAAAAACGTGGGGCGCATGAAATACATAACAGTACATATACACATTTTCTTACTCATACACGTGCTCAGCCACATACACATATACATCCGCATACACATGCGTATACACAAACATACTCCACATGCACATACACATTCAGAAACAATTACAATTACAGATATACATACACATATTCTCATGAGCACACATACACACACTAATATAACATTACTGTTATGTACTTCATGCGCCCCACGTTTTTCGTTTTTCAAATTTTTTATTTTTTAATTATTATTCTCCACTACAAAAACGGGGTT